ACTACAAGGGGTGCAACCAAGGTTCAAAATGTTGGTGTTGATGGAAATATTTTTTTTTTGATAAATGAATTACGATTTTATTGAAGATGGTTCAAGATGATAAATCAATACAGGCTGCCCATGGAGAGGCAATAGCTGGTACCTTTCCTAAATAACAAAATAGTATTACATTAGACTAAAAAGCAAAAAGTTACAGAGCTGCCCAAAATAGTTGTTCCCTCAAGGCTAGGGGTGGATTTAAGCCGATTCAAGCTGAATACATGGCTATTTTAGCTCGGCTCGCTGAAATTGTGTTAGGCTCGAGCTCGAGCTCGAACTTGATTCGAGCTAGAGATTTGAGCTTGAGCTTGACTCGATTCAAAACTCGCAAGTTCGAGCTCGGCTTGGCTCGAGCTCAACTGCAAGCCAAGTTTTTTTCTAAAAAATAAAAAAGTATACATATAAAAATATTTTTTATTTTACTTACAACAAATTAAGAATTATAAAAATCATTTATTATTAAACATATAAAAAATAAAAAATATACATATAAATAATGTTTTTATTTTACATACAAAAAATAAGCATTATAAAATTATTTACCACTATACATAAAAAATAAAAATATTATATATAAAATATTATTAAATAATAAAAATGATTTATTATATATTTGTATGTTTATAAGTATATGTATATGTATATGTATGTATGTATATGTATATTATATATATATTTGTATATTTATATGTATATGTATATGTTTATTCTTCTTAGAATAAAAGATTTTTATTAAAAATAAAGAAAAAATGAGATCTCCCCTTCCTCTTCATCCTCCTCCTAACCCCCTCCTCTTAAGGAGGTTTATGCCTCTTACGTTCTGAACTACGCTTCACGCCTCTAGGTAGTGGAACGCCTCGCGTCACGCCTCCATGTTTTAAAACATTGGTTAGGTGACTAGCATCTATAAGATTGTGGAAAAAGTACCATCACTAAGGATTAAAAAGGTTCTTCCCTTTCTCATTACGCAAGCTTAAGGAGCCTTTGTATAGGGTAGATAAATTACAAATAAGATCCTTATAGCAAATGAATGTGTGGAGGAGGTGAGGACATCCACCAATCAAGGTTTTGTTCGTAAGTTGGATATTGAGAAGGCCTATGACTTGGTGGACTGGAATTGGGAATAGGTGGTGCAGTTGGGTGAGTGGATGTATAACCCCTTGTCATTTTTCAGTTCTAGTTAATGGAAGGGTTAAGGATTTTTTTCCCATAATGTAGAGGGTTAAAACAAGGCGATTCACTTAAACTTTTCCTGTTTACACTTGTGGCAGATGTGTTTAGTAGAATGATTTCTAAAGGAGGCAGGGAGGAGCTAATAAGCAGTTGGAGGATAGGCAAGAATTATGTCCCGGTGACCCATCTTCAGTTTGTTGATGATATTATCATTTTCTGTGTGGGGAGAGACCTAAGGAAGTGAGAAATATCAAGAATCTTATAAAATCCTTCTAGCTGCCTCTAGTTTGACAATTAACTTTGATAAAAGTTGCGTGGTTGGAATCAATTTAGAGAATTGGGAGATAGAGGCTATTACAGGTTGCTTAGAGTATTCCATGTCCTCTTGGCCCTTAACCTACCTGGATCTTCCTCTAGATGCTAACCCAATAGAGCCGTTTCTGGTATCCAATTGTGGAAAAGTTTGAAAAGAGGTTGGTGACTTGGAAGAAAAGTTACATTTCATTAGGGGGTAGAGTGACCTTAATTAGGGCTACACTTGCTAGTCTTTTGATTAATTTTCTCTTGGTGTTCAGGATACCCTCAAGGGAAGCTAAGAAGTTAGAAAAGGTGATGAGGGACTTTTTGTAGGAGCCAGGGGAAGCAAAGAAGGATCATATGATTAAGTGGGGGATAGTTAGCAGAAAAAAGGAAGAAGGGGGATTAGGATTAGGTAACCTATTTCTTAAGAATGAAGCTATACTAGGGAAGTGGTTATGGAGATGACCTTTGGAGAGAGAGAGAGCGAGAGGTTGTGGCACAAGGTGGTGAAATTCATGGCTGTTTGGAGCAATGCTTTATAACGCGAAGGTGTGACACGAGGCGTTCCACTACCTAGAGGTGTGAGGCATAGTTGGTTCATAATGTAAGAGGCATAAGCCTCCCCGAACACAAGGAGGCGCAAGCCTCCTTAAGGATGGGGGTATGAGGAGGAAGAAGAGGAAGAAAAATCTCATTTTTCTTTATTTTTAATAAAAATGAAGATGCATAACATTAGTTGGGGGGGGGGGGGTAAGCCCCCTAGCCAAGGGGTCCCCCCGACCCACATTCTTCCCCTTATCTTTCCTTCCCTTCCCTCTTCTTTCTTTTTCTTTTCTTTTTTTTTTTTGTTTCTGTCGTTTTACATGAGGCGTATGCCTCAGAGGTGTCAACGCCTCTAGCGTACGCCTCAAGGAATTTTGGGGGTGCCTTGCTTGGAGGCATGCCTCCAGGCATACACCTCCCACACCTTTTAAAACACTGGTTTGGAGAATGATTGGGATGTTGGGGTATCTCAATGGGCGACTCTTGTAACACCCTGGAAGGGTATACATGGGATCCTTCCTCAATTCCTCAGATTGGTGAGGTATGATGTCTACTTTGGAAATAATGTTCTTTTTTGGGAAGACATTTTGGTGGGTGACCAACCCCCATTTACTCTCTTTACCTTTATAAAAATGAGCCGATTTCCATGTTTATTTCTTCCTCGATTTCTCTCTTGGCATTAAATTGGGATTTTGGTTTCTGAATAGGGCTATGTGATGATGAGTTTACTTGTGTCTTGGAGCTATTGCTATCATTTGAGTCTGCTTTCTTGGATCCTCTCAAACCTGACTTAAGAATTTGGACCCCTACTCCGACAGGCTACTTTACTTGCTCCTTTTTTTTTCAAATCCCTTTGCTCTACTCCTGCACCCCAGGGTTTCCTAGTTAAAGAAGTCTGGACTAGATCCATTCCCCCAAAGGTTGCTGTTTTCTGTTGGGAAGTCTACTATGGTAAGACTAATACCTTTGAAAACTTGCAAAGGAAGAGACCTAGTTGGTGTTTATCCCCTAGTTGGCTTGTTCTTTGTAAAGCTCAAAATAAGGATTGTTACCACTTACTGATATCTTGTTCGTTTGCTGCAGCTTTATGGAATTGGATTTTTATGTTGTTTGAGTGTAGGTGGAATCTGCCATCTGATATTAGCTTGTTTAGTCCGTCTACCTTTGAATGGCACACAAAGAGAGGGAGAATCATGTGGGAGTGCATCGGAGCAGCTATCTTGTGGATTGTTTGGGAAGAAAGGAACACCAGAATTGTTTCAGAAAAGGAAAGAAGCTTTTTGGAAGTTAAAGATTGTATTCTAACAAGGGCAATTCAGTGGATGAAAACATTAAACCTTTTTGATACCTATTCCTTTGATGATCTTTGGAGGAGTTGGTTAGTAGTGGCTAATACTTCTACCAGGAAGAACAAATATTTGGTAGAATGGATGCCACTTGGGGAGGATTTTATTAAGCAAGGTAACCCTGGATCTTCGGGCATGGGAGGAGTTCTGAGAACTAAAGACAGTAGTATCATCTCTTTATATTCAGGTCTGGTGGGTCTGGGAGACTCTACAAGGGCTGAACTTCTTGCTGCTATACAAGGAATCCAGCTTGCAAACCAGCTAGGGATAGAGCATTTGCTTATTGAAGGGGACTCTCAGGTGGTTGTGGGATGGTTGCCAAATCTGGATTATGTGGTCTGGGGCTATAGAGATCTCCTTAAGAAAGCCAAATGGCTAACAAGGAATATGACAGTTAGAGTCCAGTAGTTAGGCAGATCAGCAAACTCGATGGCTGACTCGTTTGCTAAATAGGGGGTCTCTCGGGATTCTTTATTTTGGGGTACCTTGTAACTTCTGTTCATTCGGAAATTGTAATTCTGTGATGAATTTTAAAGGAAAGGTCGCATTCCGTGCCTTTCATTGGGTTTCCTGTATCTTATCTGTTGGATTAATAAAACTTTTACTCATTTATCAAAAAAAAAAAAAACTATGCAATAAGTAAGCTGCATTAAACACAATAGAGAAAACATTATGGTAGGTAATCTATGTATTGTCTTTTTTCACAGAGTGCACATCTCCTCCACTAAAATAAGTAATTGGAGTGCTATCTAGGTTGAGTTGTCAACAGTAGCTCCCAGGAAATGATCATACTGGTCAACAAAGAAGCGAGAATAGTGCAGCTCACATCATTCCTGATACAACTCACTCTTCAGAAACCCTTCCCTAGTGTGACCAAGTGCCATTAAATTGGTGGATTTTGGTAGGTTCTTGCCTTGAGGCTCCAGCCTCACATCCATCTAATGGTTATTTGGAAGTACCCTTCTTCTTGATCTCTTCTCAAATCCAAATAAGCACATCAATCTGACTTACTGAAGTAACACATGATCTTTATTAGAGCATCTCCATGGTCTTTTTGCCCTGAGCATACTATGGTAATCTCACCTGTATGTTAATCTTGCACCTATTCTCAATGGCCCTGAATTCCCTGAAGTTAAAAAAAAACCCTATTCGTGCTGAGCTTCGTGATTCTTTGTGCTAGGGATAATTATTTCACTACAACTTGCTATCTATGAATCAATAAACTTGCAATGAATGACTAGCCTGTATTCACTAAGTCACTCAGTATTGTGAACTTTAAAGGTTTACCAACTGGAGGTGGTGCAAATGAAATTAATGAATCTTATTTTGAGCAGTACTGCAGTAGAGGTTTCTTATGTTACAATTTACATTCATTCTTTTATACTGTGTTTCTCTTTGACAAATTGAAATGAAAAAGCAATAATCAGTTTGAAGCAAGGAAAAGAAAAGGCATAAATAAGTTTCTTATAATATGTCTTCAAGAGATTCTTTTTTTTTTAAATTTTCTTACTGTTACTTTGAAAACATTTATTTTGGGCATACTAGTATTCATCCATATCTAGCTTGTATAGACTATAATGCTTACTTTTTATGTGTCAGGTCAAACGGTTCAAGAAACTTCTACAGAAAGCTGATAACAACTCGTGTCCTCTTCACTGTCTACCCTCTGAATCAATTGAATCACTTCGCCCATTCTATTCTTCTGGTAATATGCCGTCTTATCCTTGTAAAAGGGAAAGCCCAAGGTATCCTTTTAATAGACTGTTGATGAGGTTTTCCAGTATCAATGGAGGTGTTTTGGATGGGTCTCACTAGGGATGTCTTTTAGATAGTTTGTCCTAAATTCCTAATTGGTTTATCCATATCTTTGTCAACAACACTATGTAAACTCAAAATTTTATTTTCTAAATAGAAAATGGAAAAATTTTTTGATCAATTTAAATGGTAATGTTTTGAAACAGAAGTGTTTATCTATTCATTAAAAAGCTAAAGTGTTTCTAGGAGAAATAAAAAATACATCTAGCTTTTCTAAATAAAATCTTCCCTTCCCCCAATGTTTTGTGATACATAAGAAAGATGGTAGATGTAATTCTCCTTTTCCTAATTAAACCATACTTTTTAGCCTATTTTGTTGAAAGAATGTTTGCTATGATCATGCTGACATTTTGCAAATTGTACTAAATCTATAGGATTCCTAGTTTCTTCACTGTTTTTCTTGTTAAACCTTTGTCATATTTTCTTATCTTTTTCTTGTAAAACCTTTTTCATATTTTCTTACCTTTTTCTTGTCTGTCTTATTTTTGGATTCAGATTATGTCCAGCACAGTAGCACCATTTTCTGCCATGCCACATTCTTGCTAATAATGATCCACTAATTGTTCTAATTTTAGAAAATGAGAAAAAACTTTAAAAACTTTTTTCATCTAGCAAACTTTCTCTGAACATCAGATGGTCCCTGTTTTTTCTTGCCCTTCATTTTGAAACTTCTATTTTTTGTTTGTCTGGGAGGAAAAAGATTGTTGAAAGCAAAGGTAAAAGATCACCTAATCAAGCTGATTTTTTTTGGCTTTGTTTATCTCATAGACGAGACCCATTAAATGATGGATTTCTCCATGTTGCATGTGAACCTCCTTTGTTGCCAATCAATTGGCAGATTACTATTATGATCTGCCTGATGAATTAGTACCTTGGTTTTCTTCCATAATGAACTAATTAGGTTTTCAATGGACTTGGAGCTCATTGTTCTTTCAATTTGTATCAGCTTTGGGGAAACTGAAAGAGTGTATCGAATCTGAGAAATCAAAGCATCATAGAACTATTTCTAAGTCCTCACGGGCAGGCAAAGTGAGTGGAGTGAACAACCAAAAGCAATAGAGATGTCCAAGCAGGTGGTACTTCTTCCCTTCAACATGCATGGGTTCTTTATACCATGTACAAATGGTGAGTTTTATTATTTTAATAACTGTTCTAAACTTCTAATTTCATATATGTATCTTGTTTGCGATAGTAAAATTAGTTGCTAAATCACTGGGGGCTTATAAATACAACCACGTAATTGCTTCCACAAGAAAGCTGGCATTTAGAGGTTTAAAACTCTTTTTTTAATAGCTAAAAGAAAATTTATTAAGAAAGAAAAACATTACAAGGTGGAACCATGGAAGATATCATCTAGAGAAAAAACAGATCAAAAACAAATCACCGTCTCAAGGGAACCAAGCAGAAAGTCCCCCACAAAATACAAAAACATCAACTGAAACAAACCCCAGACCCAAACTCCTGCAAAACCACAGCAAAACATATTCTCTAAAAACCAGAATAGCCCCCTAGACCACGACTATCTTCAATCTTCTGTACATCAACATCTGCAGCCTTCCAAGTCGGCAACCTTTTTCTCAGCTGGCCTTGCTTGTATCAACACCCTTGGCTGAAACAAAAATAATCTTATAGATATATACAATTAGAAGAATGCCCATATAGGGCTGAAAGAGAAAAAGAATAAGATATATAAGTAATATACAACAGGGACTATACTAATAAGATACATCAAGTCACAAAATCTCCACACTCCCCCTCAAACTGATGCCTAGACATAAGCATTAGTTTGTCTATAACATAGTTGTCAAGGCGACTAGGCGAGGCTAGGCGACCATGGGGCGCCCGGCACCTAGGTGCCTAGGTGATGGAATCTATAAATATTAAATCTATAGATTTCAACCATATAATCATATTCATATATATATATTAATGATAGGTTCGGCTGTTAAAAACTGAAGTGAGAAGTGAGAACAATGACTGAATTAGTGAAGGGAGGAGAGGAGTATAGGGCGGAGCCCCTGTTTTTTCAAAAAAAAAAAAAAGCAAAAAAATGGACTCATGGGGTGGACGACTGACGACTTAGAGTGACTACTGACGACTGCGAACAATCATGGACTCATGGGGCGGAAGATGATGATGATGAGTGGAGAAAGGGAGGACTGAGGAGTATAGGGGCGGAGCCCCTGTTTTTTCGAAAAAATGAAAAAATGTCTGAGCTGAGAAGAGAGAACTCAGGACTGATTTGACTGAAATCTGGAAAAGAGAAGAAGAAGAAGAAGAAGAAGAAGAACTTACCTGCTGGATCTGAGGTGCGATGGAGTTGGGCTGGGGCTTGAAGTCTTCGGTTGTCTTCCCTCTCCAATCGAACCAAAAACACCTTTATGACATAAAGAAAAAAAAGGCTGTATATGTGGTCTTAATACTAATATGATATCATGTAACCAGATTTATGTTAAAAGAATAAAACATCCAATAAAAATATCAATAAATTAAAAAGAAATAATTTTTTAGATGAATGTAGGCACCCTCTTAAGTCTCTGAGTGGGCGCCTAATGTGCAAAACTTGTGGCGTTTGGGCGAGACGACCATGAAAAACCGCCTATTTGCCTAGGTGCCCGGCTAGGCGTCGCCTTGACAACTATGGTCTTATAAGAAAGAGATGTCAAACTCTAGTCATAGCCTTGGTGAAAATATCAGCAATCTGCATGTCTGAGGCTACATAAGGAAGCGATATAGACCCAGTAGTGAAAAGATCTCGGATTAAGTGGCAGTCCACCTCGATGTGCTTGGTCCTCTCATGGAAGACAGGCTTAGATGCAACCTTGATAGCACTCGTGTTGTCTGCATAGAGAAGAATAGGAGTAGGAAGTTGAATGCCAAGATCCATAAAGAGAGATCGTAACCAAACAATCTCATTGTGTAGAGAACACTGATGTGGGCCTCACTGCAGTGGTCCCCACTGTGTTTGTAGGACAGCATGTGTAGTTATTTGTTTCAGTTATAGTAGTCTCAGTTTTAAGTCAGTTGTTATTTATTTCAGTTTTTATTTACTTTATTTATCATGTAAGTACTAAGGGCAGATGTGTCCTTTCCATTATGTACTGAACATAACCTATAAATAATAAGAGAGTGGCGGCGGCAGATCTGTTAGAATCTGTCCCTCCTTTCAACCCCTTGTGTTCTCCTGTTTCTCTTCTAT